GCTGAGGCGGGCAAAACGACTGTCTGCTGCTATTCGGCCAGCAACAGCCCGCAACGTTCTCGACAAGTCTTCTTTCATTGGCAGCTGAGGCTGGAACTTGATCTCGGGATGACTCCTGCCTGGCACGAGCGGTATGTCAACTCTTTGCGCAGCTGTGCAAAAGGTTTAGTGCTGACTTGAGAGCGGTGTGAAGTAGCAGCTCCTCCCGGTACGCACGCACGCACGGAGGTGCGTGGCACCTTGAACTTTAAACAATCGAAGCATTCATAGCTACCAAACCGCAACCTGTCAAAGAAGCATCCACAGTCAAGTAAGACATCTGTTGTAGCGTGTTATAGTGGATGCCGGATCTGCCAGTTGTCACAGATGAGGGATGCTGCTGGCGCGAAGGGCAGGGGAGTATGGTTTCCGATTGCACGAAGCACTACGTGTGCACTCGTCGTGCACCCCGGAACAAGTGGTCTCATGGTTATACAGTTATACCGTGGCGCAACGATGTGCTGCCTGATACTGGAGTGAAGGCGAGATGCTCTAGATTCGGGTTACCGTGTACACTTTCGGCGACGCCGTTTTGAAGTTCTGTTCACAGAACTGTCACCAGTGTTTTAGTGTTGCCATTGCTATCAGTGCTGTCAGCATGTGAGTGAGACCAGTACTGGCACTAGAAGTGGTAGTAGTAGTGGTAGTGGTAGTAGTAGTAGTAGTAGTAGTAGTAGTAGTAGTGGTGCTACTACTACTACTACTACCACCATTACTCCTGCTGCTACTACTACTGCTGCAACTGCTACTCCTGCTACTGCTACTCCTGTTACTGCTACCACCAGCACCACCACGACTACGACTACGACTANNCTACTACTACTACTACCAGTACTAGGTTTCGTTTTGCAGATGCATGCAATGCATTCATCATGGTGATGTTTTTATGGTTCAAGCAACCATGCGTCTGATGACAATGATTCTGTAGCTGTATGTATGTCATCATGCCCGCCCCTCCCCCCCACACACCGCCACCAATCTTGTAACGCACGTCACAATTACCTTAGGGAGCCATTCTCGGAATCACTAGGGTAGCAACTGGAGGGGGTTTTGGAGGTTTTGCAGGTGCATCAAATGTATTCATCATGGTGACGATTTCATGGTTCAAGCAACCATGGTCGGATGACACCGGGTCTATAGCTGTATGTTTCGTGGGTCTTGGAAGGGTTTTGATTGGTGTTCGGGCTTCTTTCTAGAGCAGTCGCGAGGGTAGCAATTTGAGGGTTTTGTTTTGCAAATGCATGCAACGTATTCCTCCTGGCGACGGTTTTATGGTTCTGATGATAATGATTCTGTAGTTGTACGTACGTCATCATCCCCCCACATCGAGAAATTTTCGTCGCGCTAAACCACACGTTTAAGGCCGCAAAATGAGGAAAACCGTAACGTCAGATATACGATCTGAGCCTAGTAGTAGTAGTAGTAGTAG